AACACTGCTACAGAGACTGCTATAGTAAAATGAGACAAGAAATGTGAATACATACTCCAGCAATACAATAACTTTGATTTCCTTTACATGATATTTGAATCTAATTATCCCAAATTTGAAGGGTAATTGAGATTGTCACAGATAATTACTCATGGACGTTAAAATAACATCCAAAAATAACAAAGAAAAATGCATAAAATTTTCAAACTTAATTCTGGCGAGAAACAAATCTGGTATTAAAAGGGTCCAGCAATGATAATTTTATAATTTATTTTTTATACCTTTCTTAATGGTTGACACTATACAATTCATGCTACTCATTAGTATACCTCAAAATCGTGATGACAACTATAGAGGGCGCAGCAGAACTATAGCAGGAACATGGAGGTATCCTCGGGGGCGGAGCTACGTCACAGACGTTCTACGTTGCTAAGACGCGCATCACTGTACCACGTATTTCTATGAGCGTTGTGTGCGCTGCTGTGGAACGCCGGTGGAGCCGGTGAAAATTCGAGAAAACAACACAAACTCAACTTTGGAGTAATCCTGAACAACCAAATTCATATATGTTACACACGTAGGGCTAATCTTGTTACACTGTTCAGGGGACTCTCAACAACCATCGCAAAGTACCGTTTTCTGCGAGTTTTTGATCTTTGTTTTCACCGCGAGGGTTGCCAGGTGGTAGAAAATGCCTGGATGTCCGCCCGAGGATAGCTACAATATCATTAACACCAGACATGATTAATGACAGGTAATTTGCTTAAAACTTCAATTTTGATATTGTATTAGTTTTAAAAATAATCTGCTCAATTAGTGTGCAAAATTAGCAATAAATTACCACTCGGGAGCACTACAAATATATGTTTGTACACTCAAAGCTGCAGAAATATTAAATAGTTACTTACACATACAAGCATAAAAAACTATGCTAATTTAATTCGGCTAGTTACTAACTACTTACTCTAACCCCTTCGCAAGTAACGCCAATCTTGACCTCTGTGCATACGGACAATATCTCATACTATATAATCGAATTGTACCATCTTTTAGAGGCGGTAGAGGGTCACCTACAGATATAACAGACAACACAATACCATAAGTTTATGATAAAACTTTTTTGATTATTGTTCAGATGATTGCATCATAATGTGTTGTGGGGAAATTAAAAAGGCAGTCATTAATGTGATTAACTTTGCAATGACCGATAAGGGAACGATAAACCCTTTTGCATAGGGCATTCAAGAATGTGGACTTTCAAAGTGCCAATTAGCAAGAACATGTTATGATTTTAACAAATACGCACGTTGGATTATGATGTCTCTTGCCCTACACTGAAAACATGCGCGTCTCTTGTTTATCGTACGTACCAACAAAACAGTACACATGCGCAATAGAGTTTGTCACTGTCGTATTGTAAACATAATACGATAAATACAAATACACGTAGATAAAGACTGCTGATAAGATATTCTCATTAAATTAAAGACAGTTAAAGGGCGGTAGTCGTCGTGCCGCGTCCTGTTCGATATGGGACTCATAGCGACGTATACAACGCGTGTAAAATACATTGTTTATTTACTTGAAATTCGAACACGCGCTGCGCGATGACCACCGCGCTTTAAAATGGGTGGGTATAACCACACTGAGATCAACACTGTCGAGAGTCGGCTGACAACTAGGTAACTCGATATTCGGCTATTCCATGTG